TATAATAGTGTCTGAGAAGAGATTTTCTTCTGGCCCCCTTGTGTACATACCTGCATGTAAACACACACCATTTGGTATCAGCAGAGGCTGCTCCTTCATTTTCTGGCCACTCAGACCTGAAATAATCACACAAAACACTGCTTGGCCAATCACTTAGGTGTATTGCTATCTAGCTATTATATCTTAAATTAACCCATTTTTATTATTTTATATTTTACCACAAGGCTCGTGGTTTAAAGGTACCAGCACCAGCCTCTTTCTCCTCCTGTGGCTACATGGTATCTCATTGACTCCGTCTTCTCTCTCCTCTCTCTCTCTCTCTCTCTCTCTCTCTCTCTCTCTCTCTCCCTCTCTTTTTTGTTCAGAGTTCCTGCCTGGCTTTACTCTGTTAAGCCATTGGCCGAAAGCTACTTTTTTATTAATCAATGGCAATAAAACATTTACAGCATAGAGCGGGGGAATCCCACACCAAGTGTGCACACACACAGACCCCACAGTAACAAGTTTTAACGAAGGTAATCTGTATGTTATGAACCAGTAAAATGATCTTTCTAGTAAACATGAAGAAATACTCACTGCAGTTTGGCTGTTTTGGAGTTCGTTGCACTTGATAGTATTTGAACTTGCTGAAACCACTGTCCAACCCAGACTTGTACCAGTAACCAAATGGACAAATCATGACTGTGCTGTGAAATACGACACAGTAATTAAAAAGAAAACCATCTATACAACAATATGTAGATCACAGCATTGTGTGAGAAAAGCAAGTCAAAGCAAGGCCACGGTGTGATCCCTCTAATCTTGAGAGTCCTTTTTGTTACTGTTTTGTTTAAGACAGGGTCTCACTATGTAGCTCTGGCTGTCCTGGAACTCACCGTGTACACCCTGCTAGCCTTGAACTCATAGAGATCCTCCTGCCTCTGCCTCCCTAGTGCTGGGTAGTTTTGTGAGTCCTTGAACTTTCTGTAAACTACAGTATTAAGGATAAATGTGTCAGTGTAAAACTATTAAGAGCAGCAAAGGTTTTCACAGCTGCTTCTAGGGCAAGGAGAGATTTGATCACTCTGGGTGGGAAGCTTTGGGTTCTGCTTCTGCACCTGGACATTTGCTTTCTAATCATTCTTAAAACCATGTACATAGTTTGTTTACATTTTTACATGAATGTGTGTGTGTGTCCAGTTATTAATAGAATGAGTACTTGCCCCCAAAGAGGTCATCACTGGTAGAACTGATCTACAGAAAAGTGGAAAAGAACAATGGCCAACATACAGAGCATGGTTACTAGTTTCAATGTGTTTACCATCTCATATGTTCTTCCTGGCTGTGGTAGTTTGAATGTAATTGGGCCACATAATCTCACAGGGAGTCGTACTATTAGGCGATGAGATTTTGTTGGAAAAGATATGGCCTTGTTGGAGGAAGTGTGTCACTGTGGGGGCGGGCTTTGAGGTTTCCTATGCTCAGGACATCACACAGTGTCTCAGCCGCCTTCCTGTTGCCTGCAAGATGTAGGACTCTCAGCCACTCCAGGATCAAGTCTGCCTGCAGGCCACCATGCTCCCGATCATGATGATAATGAACTGAACCTCTGAAACTGTAAGTGAGCCACGCCATTAAATGTTTTCTTTATAAGAGTTGCCATGGTCATGGTGTCTGTTCACGCTAATAAAAATCCTAGCTAAGACACTGGCCAAAAGTCAGCCTTGTCTAGTGCTAGATACTGCGTAGGCAGCCGCACGGTTCCTCCTCGTCTCTGATAGGGTGGTGGCAGAGAGGGGACATACTGCCAAAGAGGTGAGTTTACTGCAGCTGGGCTCCTACCTTTCCCCCAGGAGACTCTTGGTAACCAATAGAGCAAAGGAACCACCAGAGAGGGATCTAGAGATGCAGGTCCATGTGCGCATCATCAAAGTGTGAGTGCCACAAGATGGTCTCAAGTGTGTGTGTGTGGCCACAAAGGGTGTGAAACAGAGAGCTGGTGAAGAGAAGTCGGAGGAAGGGGTGGAAGGCAGGCTTTGCTGGCTGTTCTAACCACCAGAAATGGTGAGCGGATCCCCAAACCTCTGGTGGGCAGGCAGGACAGACTGAAAACAAGGGTGTTGTCACCGCCACCACCCACAGACTTTTATTTATACCCTGTTTTTCAAGGCGATTATCAGAGACACCTACTCAGGAACACAAGTGGGGCAGATTCCTTTGACTTCAGTGTTGCTGCGCACCCTCTGAATGCCGTGTCCATCCGTACGATGCTTCCCTCTGGTTAGCTGGAGGTGCACTGCAAGGTTCTCTCCCTCCCCACTCCTTCCTCCCTCCCTCCTCCCCCCCCCAAGCTTTTATTTTTCTTGCTGTGTTGATCTATGCTCACAGCTTCAGTTACTATTTCTGTCAGAAAGGCGAGGCAAGACAAGGTTTGAACCTTAAAATAAACGTTCCCTTTTCGGGTTGTCAGTGGACATCTGCCCTGATTTGCTCTTGGAACATCAGGGCTGGGTCTGTCCATGCGTCCCCTGCCTTACATCTGTCACTTATCCCTGCTATCGAATCGTCCACTGTCCCTGTGTTTCCAGCCATCCCTATTATCTGGGCATCTCTAACATCTGTTGCCCTCTGTTCCTGCATTTGTACCTGTGTGTCTAACCAGCTTTTAATTATGCACACGTGTATATTCTATGGTGTGTATATTTTTATCCATTCATTCAGTCAGTCATAT